TGCCATATCTCTCCCTTTCCTTGTGCAAGAACTGGCTTGGACCAAAAGTGAACATAACAAGAGCGCCTCAGGTATTGCAGACTAAACATTGGTATTTGGGTAGGGTTTAAGTGTGATTATGTTCTTATTTTTTCCACGTATATTTTTGGGATTAAGTTAAATAGATTTGTATAATTTTCTATTAAATTATTAATTTACTGGTATGCATAATATTAAATTGTTGCTGCATGTCCTTATTTTGGATAGACATGTGTGACCATTAGTTGTAAGCCAATAACAACATAAGAAGTCCTTAACTTTGACATCTCCTGTTGTGTCGTTGTCCTTTTCTTATTTTCATTTAACTTCGTTTGCATTCATAATGATATTTGTATTACAATCTTTATATTTATCTTTGTTCTGACTTTTCAGTCAGAGCATGATGGTTCAGATGTACAGATTAAATTGAATGTGGAACATCACCATGGAGAAGATCTTGTTCCAAAAATGACAAGATTGCCAAGAGTGAAGTACATAACATATTATGAAGATTCTGAAAGTCTTCCTGGAAAGAGGACAGCAATTTGGGAGCTTGATAAAGGTGTATGACTTGTCCCTGGAGTTGTCATGGACTACCTGATGCTTTTATTTATGACTGAAATAATCAAAACTACATTATGAATTTTTCATGCCCACTTGGACTATGTTAATTCAGCGTAGACAAGTATCTTGTCAATTGTCTGACTGGATTTAGAAGTTGACGCTCACAAAGTTTGCTAATACTTAAAAACTCATTCATTTAGCATGAAATTTTATACTTGTTACCTCATCAGTCCTTCAAAAATTAGTAATCAAAGTCTCAAATTTAAATTGTCAGCATATTCGTTCTTTGAAATTTTGTCTTGTCACCACATTTGTTTTTCAAAGATCTGAATTATCACTGTATTGATTATCTACTAAGGAATAAAGAGGTGAAAAAGTTTAATTTGGTGGCAAATTGATGATTATGGATGACTATACATAGGGAGATCTAAAATGTCATCATATTGTCCATTATGGAGGGCTAGGGTGATGATAAAAAGAATCTTTGAGGAACTAATTTGTGATAAAAAAGACTTGACGGATTGGCAAAATTTTTGGAGGATTGAAGTGGTGTCTGAAAATCCATGGGGAAAGTTGTAACCCATAATTTATTTTATTGATTGATTAGTGATTACTGCTTTCATAGATGAGTTAGTATGATCTCAATATCTTCAAGGTTCTAAATTTTAACATAAGGTAATTGACAACAAGGATGCATACAAGTAAACTGACATGATATTCCTGTAGCAAATCACAGGAACATAGTTAGATCACCAGTGCTAATGAGGGAACTGTGGCTTGAGATGTGGCATGATATCCATCCTGATGCAAAATTAGAGTTTGTAACAAAAGGTTTGTCACACTATCTTTATAAACAATTTCAGTTGAGAATCTTCAGTTACTGACTTTGTTCCATTACAGCTAAGAGGGGTCCTTTAAGAGACGAGGACTGTTATTGGGATTATGGGAAGGCTCGTTGTGCATGGCCCGACTACTGTGAATATAGGTTTTTTCTCTCTCTTCTATTTAATATTTGATTTATTATTTGAAATTGTGAAATTTCAGAAAACATTTCAAATTGAGAAAGAAATTAACCAAAAGTAAATATTCCATACTGAACCTACAGGTTAATTTTTCTTAATTGGAGATTTGTACAACAAAACCTTCTAAGTTGTAAACACCATTCCTTTGATTTTTAATTGTTGATTTGTATAACAAAACCTTCTATGTTGACCATTATATCCTTTGATTTTTAATTCTTTAAACATGTGCGTTGTATCATAATGCAGATATGTTTTTGGGGATGTTCACTTGGGACAAAGCTGTAGGTTGAGATATACTACTGCTGAAGTGTTGTCACATTATTTGTAAATAACAAGGTACTTCTTTATACTTGTCTTTTATCTGGCTTGAACTTGTCCTGTGATAATTTTGATTAGGGGTTAACCTTGAGAATAAGTTAGTTTCATATTTTTTAATTGTTGACACTCTAGATTTGCAGAATCCTTCCCTTAAACCTCCAATTACTACTTCAATCCTTTTATCATCATTAACTCTCTTACCTATCAAATATCTTTCCCTGCCCAATCTGAAGTTGGTAGATTTTACACAATTTGAGCTAAATCCACACAATGTGCTGAAATAATTAAATTTAACTAATCAGAAACTCATATAATGTGATTAAATGTCCAAAATATTAGTTTATATAGACTCGTTATATTTATTATGCTTGAATAGATGATATTTTGCTCTCTAAAATAAATATTACATGATTATAATGATGAATTCAATATACTATTATAAATTATAATTCTTTAATGTATACCTAGACTAAAGTACCATTTTCATATTTGTTTTTTTATTGTTATTTCAAACTTAGTTTTTTCAACCCAGGTGCTAATACCTTCCGGCAATTTTTTCTTCTGGATGACCCACTTGACACGAACACCATTTCTCCTTCATATTACCGTAATTTTTGGAGTCTGGCCATTCTTTGGGGTTGTATACTAACGGGGCACTGTTTACAAGCAAACTGTCTTTACTGGTTTGGAACTTTGATTTCCAGGGCCTCATTCAAATAGATTAAAAAAAAGGCAATTGCAAGATTCTAAAAGTTTAAAGGCCCAGATTTTTTAAATAGTTTTATCGATATAAATTATTAGAAAAATATTCATTTTCAAAATAAAAGTCAGTATACCTTATATTTGTTTTTTCTTATTTTTTAATTACTTTTCTAGAAAATGACTGGACTGTCCATCTTCTTTCTTGTTGTCTTATTTAATTATAATTTTTAATATAATATGAATATAATTTTAATAATCTAAAATGAACACGAGGAAAATAAAGTAATTTTTCCATAAAAATTAAAAAGAGAATAAGGTTATAATGTTTTAGTTAGGTTAAACATTACCATAAAATATGCATAATTTTTATAAATAAAATAATATATTATAATTCTTAAAACTTTATCTGCAAACTTGATACTGGTGGTATCTGATATGCTTCTTCATATTCTCTGCAATTAGAAATTGAGGTTTGTGTTCTATTTTGTTGAAACCGGAATTATACTGCTATTGGTTAAACTAGGTGCACATCCTTTACGGTTGGTTAGTCGACTGACCACTTTTCACTTGCCCTCCATAATAAATAGTACGTCAGACTGGTGGGGGTCTGTAGAGCTATATTGTTCAACTGGTTGACAGTTTTCTTGATCTAGAAAACATGACATGGAAAATGATAATACGAATAGTACAGGTGATAGCAGTGTAGATGAAAACATTTGTTCTCTGATATACTGTAACATGGACATTCTGGTATTACTCACAGTTCAATGTTGTATACCCTCAGGAAAGACAAATTTTATGTAATGTTTTGATAAGCTCATTTGGAATAAGATTAATTTTCCTGATCTGCATCTTTTTGGTATTACTGGGTCGTTTTTGGTCAATAGGAAGACTAGAAAGAAATAAGAGGCATTTGATCACTTTCCGTTTGTATTTTATCAACATTATTTTCTAAGATTTGTAAGTGTTTCTTCAGTCTAATCCTTGTTTACCGAATTGAATTTCGGATTGTAATAATATAATTCACTGCAAAGCATGTGGTTGATAATTTTTTACACCTCATATAGTTTGAATTAGATTCCATGGATTGAAATGGGTTAAATTTGGGTTTGCACAGCTTCAGTTTAACATGTTTCTCAAATTTCAAATTATATCTTCACCCCTTTACCAATTGCATATTTATTTATTTTGTAACTTTGACCTGAACTTTTATGAATCATGTGTGTTTATATTTTTTTTATTGAAATTAAAATTATATTGTACATTTTAATCGATGTAGGTATTAAAGCAACGAATTGTTTTTAATTAGGAAATGATATTACAAGTACATAAAATAAGTTGTCCTTATAAAAGTTTGATCAAACATGAAATTTATTTAAAAGATTGCATTGTAATAAATGTTTTAAAATAAATAAAAAATTAATTGATTATGAATCTATATTATTGTAGTACCTTTTAAACTTCTAAACATGCTATAAAAATTTAAATGTCCTAACAATGCAATAAAAAATTAATACTCCTAATTACACTTTATTCCTTTACAAAGTATGTATTTTAGTGCTTTTCTTCAATCTCTTTTTATTAAATGCTTTTTATTATTTTAAAAATTGGACTCTGATTATTGACACAAGGTCAACTCACCCTCTCAAATTTAACCTCTATCTAAGGTGTGTGTGACGTGTCAATTTTGAATCATGATTGATTTATGAAAAGTATAAAAGATAATTTATTGGAAGACTGTTTAGTAAGTCTAATTAAACCATCTATCATTTATAATTTTTATGCATAGGTCATCTTAATTGTCTTCATGGTTTTTTCTTTCCTTAGATCTCTATAATGTGTAATATTTTGTATGGGATATACAAAAACATTCTCTTTCCTTATTGTATTTCTATGACATTGTTGTAGGAATCCAAGAAGTGCTTAATAGTCCTAGCATTTACAAAAGGCAAAACATTTTAATCAATGTTGACAAAAAAATAATTGAAGCACAAAGAGGCAGACTTAAATTTCTAAATCATATTTCACAGACTTTAATTTCGAGAACCAAAATACAGGAGTCGGAAATTATAATTTTCTTTATTTTATGGAGATGCAAGAACTTTTTAAGTTTTACGAACTATTAATGCGTATAAATCATAAAAGATAATAATTTATTACAAGCAATGAGAGTGGGATTTGATATCTCTAAAAAATTTAAACTGTCAAATTGTTTTCATTAATTGAAAAATGATAGAGATTGTATTCAATAATTCATGCAATTACTGAAATCTGAATAGTTAAATTTCCAAAGAATGGTTATAGTCCTTTTCTAATTCTTAAAATAAGCCACGATTTATAAAAAAAAAAAACAGAAAAGAAAGATAGCCGTGACAATTTCATAAGAGTCCATTCCCTTTCTGTGTATTAGAAAACAAATAAAAAGCTGTAGCATCGATAACATATATTCAGAAATAAAATTAAGGGCTTTAGGAGGATACATAACATAAAAACAGTGTCAGAAAAACCGGACTAGCTGCTCTTTTTTATCTCAAACAAATATTTGAGTTCCATGTGACACCTTCTATCATCGTCTTCAAACTGTAAGACAGCAACCACACATGAACAATTTATCAATTTATATGGATCAAATGTACAAATTACATGGAGTAAACCTCAACATAATGGAAGCTCTTCATATTTTCAAACATTTTGGATTTAGATTTTGTAATAACTATCAGATTGAAATATATCTGCAAAATACGCAAATGAAAATTAAATAACCAATTCTTTTGAGGGTCGTATGTTTTGCTTTTTCACCTTTTCATGTGTTTGTTGTACTCCTAAATACTCCTTATTTCAAAAAATTTAACCTTTTCATTCACTATCTACTAAACAAAATGAATCATAATTTGTAAAAGTTATCACAACGTGAGAGAAGTTTCAGATCATAGATCTTTCAATAGAACTTTATTATTGTAGGTATTCAGAGTCATCATATACTGCCTTCAAGAAGAAAAGCCAACACATGTTATAAGCAAAGGATCCAATTGACAAATGCAACTTTACTTCGAAATACCTTTAGTTTGGCTGAATAAACACCCCTTGCAAGTGCACCAGAGGGAGTGGTGTCCTCCTTCAAGGTATACACATATGGCTCCTTTTGAGGAGCAAAAGTACCCAACATTCCTTTGCTCTGATCAACTGAAAAATCCAAGAATAAAACCAAATTATCATTTGAAATTTTCAAAAAGAAATCATATCCATTTGGTCAATTTCTTAGAATATATGCCAATATATAAAACAGTAATCCAACTTAATTATCACCATCAATCATGTTATAATTTATATGCTATATGTACCATACACACCACATAAAATTTCTTACTCTAGAAAACAAGCTTTTGTTTGACGACTAATAAGCATTTTTGAGACATTCAATCTCAGGGTTAACCCTTTGTTTTTAATATAAAGTTCTGTGCTGCTAAAACTGAAGTAAAATTCATTCCCTAGAAGGGACATTTACAATACTTAATTAAATTTTGAGACTTCCTTGTAGTGCTACCTTTGTCCTCCATCATGGAGATAATAAAGCATAAAGGTAAAACAACAAAAACCTTGATCATTCAAAAGACAGTCTTTTACACCAAACCTAAATCACCCAATACTTAGTACTATTTCAATTGCTTCTCAAACATACTGGAACTTAAGACTTTGGTTCACAAAGTTACATATTCCAGATTATCTAGCAACAGAAACAGGGTAGAGTGTTGATATTGTACCTTGAAGCCCTCCTTTCCACACAGTATTGGAGTATGTCAAACCAGACACAATGTTGTGCAGAACACTAAATTTTAGCTTAAGCTGATAGCGAGATCCCTCTCGGAGAGTGAATAGAGTACAACCATTCCGACTTTCGTCCACAGGTAAAGGAGTAACAATTTCAGCAAAATCCTCAGAAATGATTCCTATGGAGTGGAATTTCACTTCAGGATCCAATTGACCTGTACAAGGAAAGAAGTTGAGTAGAGGCAATCAAAAAGTTCTAAGAAACATAAACATGAGTGCTAAACAAAACTCAAACAAACCCTCTAAACTTTCCAAGCAACCCAGCAGCTTCTCCTTCCACCTCCTTAGGCTTTCATCCTCCTACACAGAAACAAGTAAACTCAAAATCAGAAAAATACCAGTAAAAATAACTACTCTGTTAGAACATTAGTAGGATTCACTTTATTGACCAATGGTGTCATTTGCCTATGAGATAAACCCCTTGGATATCATACGCAGCATGTGTTAAACAAATAAAATCCAATACAACATGAACAATTTAGCCATTCACTGCTTCCCGAAAAGCTCACATCTCAAAAGCTTCAAATAAAACGGTTTAAAAGTACTTAAAACCAGTTGAACCATTTTGTACACAGTTTACAGAGCTACATCGTTTCCCTTTGTTTGGCAATTCCTTTTTAAACACTTAAACTACTTGAAAATGCAGCTTTACGGTTTAAGGGTGGATTCTTCACATAATGGATGACACTAAAACCCCATTCAAAACCCAGAAAACGTCAATCTTTCCGCTAGCCCACAAATCACAACATGAAGGAGGCTAGGTGGGAAATACGTGAAAGAAAAAAAAAGGTGAAGATCATAAAAACCTTGTCCCGTTCGATCTGCTCCCTGAGAGAAACAAGAGGCCCAGGAACAAAGAAACCATTTTTACTAACTCCAATGCCTCCTTCTTCCTCCTCGTCGACTTCTTCCTCCTCCACTTTACCATCATCCAAAGCATCACTCACTTTCTCAGTCATTTCTTGTTTGGTTCCATCTGAAGGCCCTGCTTCTTCCTGTTCTCTCTTCCCATTCACACTTTCCATCTCTCTGTGTCTCTCTCCAATCAGAGAATATGAAGGTCTTCTTGAGCAGCTATTGTGCTGTGTTATCTGTTAGTCTTTGGTACAATGGAAAGGGTGTGTGAAAAGAAAGTAAAGCAAAGAAATGAGAAAATTTTGTTGGTTTGATTTTGGGGAAAGGTGGAAAGAAGAGAAAATGGGTTTTGTGAAGAGTTGAAATAACACTTTTGCCCTCTTTGCATCCGCTCACCATCACAAGTGACTTTTGTTGGGAACTGTTTCTAAGCACAGCTGCTTCACACTGCTCTGCTTGCTCCCACTCAAGAAGCTCACCCCAAACGCGATTTAACAAAATAAAAATGAAAGTCAAATAAACAGAAAAAAAGTCCAAAAGGTAAACCTGTAAATTCTTAAAAAGAAAATATTGTTTTCTTTTCTTTTATTCCTAATCAAACACATTTGGATTTTTTTATCCGACTTTATTTCATTTTAGCAAAATTTATATAAAAAAATTCATTAAAAGTAAAAGGAAATAGTAATTCATTAAAAAAATGTATTTTTTCTTTGAAACTACAGATATATAGTTTTACCCTTTACATCATTTTTTTTTATTTCACTTAACTCAAATAATTTGATTTTGTTACATTTTTTATTTTCTATCTTGTTTAGCTCTCTTAATGGAAATTTAAAAAAAAAAAAAAGAGGAAGTAACAGTGCCAGATTCAAACTGTTTTGTGTTTGTGTTTGAGTTTGAAGATAACAGACAGGAACTATTGAGGGTGCATTTGTCTATTTCTGTTTGAGCATTTTCACTCACATTTGTCCCCAGTCTGTCGGTTATCCTCTCTAGGCATGCATCCTTTTCCTTTCCAATTTGAATTCTTCCCATTCTCAAATGTTCAAATTCTTATTACATATTTCCTCCCATAACGTTACATTTCTTTATCTATTTTAAATGTTTAAATGGAGATATTTACGAAAAAAATAGTGTCAGTCTAAACAAAAAATGGAAGGAGAAATATATTATAGTACTTAAACGTGAAATTACCAATGTTAAGGATTTAGAATAAAAATTAAAAACCACTTAGACTTAATAGGTATTTATCATGTGAAATTAATATGTTTGTCTGTAATCATATGCATTTATCATGTGAAATTACCAATACGAAATTAGAATTAATAGGTCATACTAATTCAATTCAAACTTCATTTCCATGTCAAAGAAACAAGAGCAACAATGAATAAATTGTAATGTTTAAACTTTTTTGCCTGAAAAACTGCAGTACATTCATGATAGATGTGTCGCGGATCATGAACGATTTTAACGATGTTATTTTACTCAAAAAGTCGAGTCAAATCCGACAGTGGCACATCCTTGGGTCTCCCGTTCTCTAACAGTTTTTGTGGGTACATGTCACCTTTAGCCGTAAGCATTGATGTTATTTTCATTTATTGTAATATTTTATTCAAATAATTTTTAAAAACTAAAATAAACTTTTCGTAAATTCTAACTGGTTTAAACATAAAAAATCAAATTTTAAAAACTGATATGAAAGAATTTCAGTAAAACTATTTATAGAAAAGGATTATCCAAACATATCCTTAAGGCTGAGTTTTTTTTAAGGGATTTAAGGGAGATGATTTGGGGGAGATGATTTGAGTGGATTTGAGTGGATTTGAGGGTAATTTTTTTGTTGTTTTTTTGAGTGGATTTGAGGTTAATTGAGAGTGGATTTAGAAGGAAAGTTTGTGAGAATTAGTGTAGGATTTGATTGATGTGATTGATTTTAAAAATTAATTTAATTGGTAGAAAATATAGATTACCAAATTGTCCTTCTTATAAAAGTATTATAAAATGTTATTTTGTAATGTTATATTTAATTGTAAAAAAGTTTATAAAGAGATAAAAAATTATTAATAATTGTTAAAAATATTGTTTAAAAATTATAAAAGTTATAATGTAGTAAAATAAATATATTTTAAAATGTTTAGGAAAATTTTAACATAATTTAAGATTTCAAAGTCACTTACAAACCACAATAAAGACATTGAAGTCATGGAATACATTATCGGAAATACATTGGAATTCAATGATGAAGTGTACACGGCAAACTTAAATTGGCAAGCATCCAACACATAGTTTGGAATATAAAAAAAGTGACCATCACGTTTTGGTATTGTTGCAGCTCATGGTTTTTCAATATCATTTGGTACCACTAACAATTCATTTTTTGGCAAATCTATTAATTGGAATAAGGAAGAAAGGGGCCACAATTGTTGAAAAGTCAAGGAACTCCAAAATGCAAAAGTGCTGAATTAGTATTATGAAGGGAAACCACACGGCCCCATGCAGGAAGGCATATTTCACACATCCATTATAGCTCACGGCCACACGGCCACATATTGTTTTGGGCAAAGCATTTCAGCACATTGGAGTGGAATCAAAAGGAGGGGGGCCACCATGTTTGAAAACGTCCAAAGAAGAGGAAAGTGGCACATGAAAAATAAGGTAATGGCCTACTTGGAAGCATATAATGTAGGAACTCCAAGAAAAGTCTGAATTTTGTTTAAATGGTCCCCTCATTACTTTTGCAAAGTCCAAGGCTACAACCTTCAACATTTTATTTTGACTAAACGGGAGCCACCACTTTGGCTTATGAATTAAAAACCCATAAGCTTGATGGAGAAGGGGCACCTCACGGCTTTCTCCATTTTCTGGCTGCACCTCACGTAAAAGAAGGGAGAGGAAGTGGAGTTGATGGCTTGGCATGCAAAGTGTTGAATTTGTTGAAGTAAGAGAGCCACCAAGTTCACGGTTTTTATCTCTTTGGAGGGATGCTTCTCATGGCTTGGATGGAAGAAAGGAGGATTCATTCACTTCATGGAAGAGTAGAGCTGGACAAAGGCAACCTCACGGTCCAGCAGTTTGGAATTGAAACAACTGCAACCACCTTCACAGTCTTCATTCCAGCAGCTGCAGCCACCATCACATCCAGTTGGGAAAAGAATCCAGTATTGTGCAACATGAGAACACCTGGCTGCATCCTATCCTCTGCTACGTCCAGCCTCCACCATCATCCACCGTCCTCCACCTTCCTCCACCTTCCTCACCTTCATGCTGGTATGTGAAGAAGAAGAACAACCTGCAGGCCATCCGTGGTGCATCGTCCAGGCTCCGGCATCGTCCACCTTCCTCTCCTTCATGCGGCTTTTTCAATTACAGGAGCAGAAATTTTGCACTGCTGGTAACCGGTTACTCAGTGCGTAACCGATTACATATGGCTTCCTTTTCATGGTTTTCAGCGTAACCGGTTACACCCTCCAATAACCGATTACACCACCTTCACCGATTACACCACCTTCAGTTTTATGTAAATATGTACAGGGTATTACGGAAATGGTTCAGGGCAATTGCGTAAATGGGTAACAATCCGCGCAAATCATCTCACTTATGCGAAGATTGTTAAAATCGTGCCATCCCGCAAATCCATCCTTTTCCATCCGCGTAAATCGGTCCAAACGAACACGCTTACCTCTCTCTATCGTCGCTCACAAATTACCGTGAACAGTTAAATCCGCGCATGCGAACACAGCCTAAAAGAGATTGTATTCAATTCAACGAAGATGCCTAGCTTGTTCGACAACTAAAATAGGAAAGGAAAAAAAAGCAGCAGCAGCAGCAGCAGCTGATGACAACGAAGAAAAAGCAAATCATGAAGCATGCTTTTCTTATTGAACTCGGGAACACATGGAAATCATACGTGAAAGGAGTGTCGGTAACACATTAACTAACAACACTCTTTCTTTTTTAGCATTCTTTTCTTGTTTAAAATTTATGGGTATGGTATCCTACTAATTTGTGAACAAGACCGGCGCCAAATAGAAAACAAAACCAAACTCACCTCACTTTTACCTGAATAATATGACAGTGTGAGAGGGAGTGTTGGTACATGAATTTATGAAAAGAGTGAGACAGAATAACAATAATGTACGCTGAGTGAGTCATCTGAAAGGTTCAACTGGAGCCGATTCTTCAAGAAAGTTGGCTGTCTCAAAACATTCTGCAGCTTCTAGCATTGTACCCTCGTCCTTGTGGAAAATGCCAAGATTATACCATGCAGAAGCGTTATATCTGTCATGCCGTAGTGCATCCATCAGAAAGCTTCTGATAGCAGGATTTGACCGATTACTGCACTGCCTAAGGACCACCGCAGTAGAGATCAAGCTAGGGACATGTCCGGGATCTATATTCAAAGCATCACGAAAAGCTCTTAAAGCCTCTTCGTGAACCCCCTTTGCTTCGTACATACTACCTGCGATATCCAACAAAACCCATTAATACCAACCAAATAAACATAACAACAGCTAAAAAGTTGATTTTAAACCTAACACATCCCCACTTGTAAAATGATGTTTACATTCATATATATACTTTGAATTGACCTTGTTGATGTGAAACTTCCAACAATTATCATTTATTAACCATTTAACAATTCAGCCAACATAAAACATGGTTTTACTGTTTAAAGCACCTGTATTTTGGCACCTCAGTGCATCTAACTTATTATACAACTAACTATAGCCAAAAGTACTATTTAGAATTTCGACAATATCTGCCATTTTCCCAAGTGATTATAAACCATATAGGTCCTTTCCACAATTCATGAACTCAAAAATAAACCATATTAATTACCTATTGCATGACATCTAGAAGCAGAGTATAGTTTGATGGCCTTAGATTTCGAAAGACACACCTCTGCATCATGCCATCGTGACAGACTTATGTAAACATACGCAAGATCATGCCATATTTCTATTTCCATGTTCCTAGCATGATCTATGTAGTCCTGTTACAAAAAAGCATGAGAAAGAAGGGTTAAGCAGAAAGCCAAAAATAAAAAATAAACTCAACTGGCAATATCAACTCTGTATTATAAATTAATCAGCATTACAGCCAACCAACCTTATATAGCGTCTTCCTTGAACCAAACGTCTTTCTCTGAACTAGGAGAATAGCAAGAAGGTGAGTATATGTTTCAATGGCAGTTTTTAACTGGCCCTGCACTATTTGTAGTTTAGCTTTTGTTCGTAGTAACTCTCCTTGATCCCATATTCCAGTCTGATCCAAGGCCTCATTGAGGATAGATTCAGACTCTAAGAACTGTTTTTGAGCTGATAATATTCGGGCTAACAATAACCACCCTTTAACACTAGACCCAGCTTCCAAGTTTAGAAAGCATCTTGAATAATGAAGTGCCGCATCCAACTTCCTTTGCTCTGC